ACATTCACACTTTGTCCAGCTGCATCTGTCCACTGTGATCTCAGCCTCCTCTATATGCCACGTAGTCCCTATGATCTGTGGTCTTTTTTTAATACCTGTATCTTATTTATGTATTAATATGTGTCTATTCCTTTCTCTAACAAGCATCTTAAAGGTGGAGATGTGAGGTATACTTTTTTTATTATTGCAGTACATATGAAAATGATGAATAAACATTATTAAGATCTAGATTCTATTTTTCATATTAAATTGACATTAAGAACATGAAGTTAGATGATGATTTAGTCATTACAACCTTTCAAGTCATGACCATTATTCCTTTGACAAATAGCATTCGTTTGTGATGATACTTAGATTTAAAGTGCCTATTTTCTTGTTTTTTAAGACTACCAATAAAGTGCAGCAAGTTGGTCTTACAAGAGACAGTATCCTGGGACTTAAATCCAACCAACTGGATTTTTAACCAGACTCCCCAGAGTTCCAAGTCTCTAATGTAGTGATATTCAGCTTTAGGATATAAAAGATAATAATGACTATTTAGGAAAGTAGATTATTCATCATCACCATCATGAAATCTTTATTGAATGCCTATTCTGTACTGGGTCCTAGCCATTGAACAATCAGTCTGTAAACATAGGGTGCATAAACAATACAGGTACATGCATACAATAAGTAGCACCGCGCAGTATTGGAGTCGCCGTTTCCCACGTTCACCTCAACAAGGATGGTAGGTATAGACATTCGAATGACTTCAGAAGGGGAGGCGGTTTTTGAGCAAGCTTTTGAAAGGCAGGAGGGCATTTTAAGCAATGGATTTAATGCTTTAATGCTTAAAGAATGAACACGGGATGTCATAAAACAGAGAGGCCCTTCGAGTATGGGGTGTTCATATATACATGGGTAGTAAATGTAAGTTGTGGCCAGAATATGGAGGATACTGTCTACTATTCTGCCCATTGTCTTCATGATACAGACACTGGAAAACGTTTTAGGATTTTAGAATAGCAGATAGAATAAGTGCCGAGAAGTTAAGCTGAAAAATTGGATGATATGGAGTATAGAATTTGAAGACAGAATGAATTCATTCCCTTTGACTTATCAGTACTTTTTAATAGTTCATTTTTATTTTATTTTTTCCATTACCATTTATCCCCCCATACCTCCTCCTTCCTCCACCCAGCCCCTCGCCTCTGCAGTCACCACTCTGTTGTCTGTGTCCATGAGTTTGGTTTGTTTTTTTTTTTTGCTTGATCCTGGCAGCCCCCCAGACGACACCCCCAGAACTGTCAGCTTGTTCTCTACCTATGAGTCTGTCTCTATTTTGCTTGTTAGTTCAGTTTGTTCATTAGATTCCAAATATGAGTTAAATCATACGGCATTTGTCTTTCTCTGACTGGCTTATTTCACTTAGCACAATGTTCTCCAGGTCCGTCCATGCTGTTGGAACGGGTAAAGTTTTCTTCTTTTCTTTACAAATAGTATTCTACTTTATAAATGTACCATAGGTTTTTTTTATCCACTCATCTACTGATGAACACTTGGGCTGATATCAGATCTTGGCTATTGTAAGTAACATTTCGATGAACATAGGGGAGCTTATGTTCTTTCAAATTAGTGTTTTGGGGTTTTTGGTGGGAATGTAGATGGGTGCAGCCACTGTGGAAAGCAGTGTGGAGTCACCTCAAAAAACTAAAAATAGAACTGCCTTACGGCCCAGCGATTCCACTTCTGGGAATTTATCTGAAGAAAGTCAGTACTCTTTATCACATTTTATTATGTTTTTCAGAGTGCTTAGACTTTCTGCAATTTTGTGCTTACTTCTGTGAGGCCTGTCTTTCTCACTGGCATTTATTCTGCTTGAGATTGGGGACCTTGCACATGCTCTTCACTCCTGCATTACCTGACACGTTGGCACTAATGTATATTTGTGGAGTGAATTAATGAGTGCATGATGTATACCTAGTAGGGACTAGTAGGTCTGTGCTAGGTTCTAACATTATTGGAGAAAGGAAGTCAACATTATCTCTGTTTTATGTCATTCCATTAGATACTATACACATATGTTGAATACTAAAATTTCATTCTTCCTGCATATTTTTCCAAATGGAGCATTTTTATTTTTTACAATATCATCACAAAAATGCCAGTTTTTGCCAATTTGCTATTTCCATAGGTTACGTTTAAAAAGTTAAAATATTTTTTGTGTAAAATATTCTTATGTGTAAAAATATACCATTTCTTAATTATAATGCCATTCATTTAATTTTTTAAGGTAGCAATGTTCTCTTAAGGTTTATTAGTTTGCAGAGAAGTTCAGACCTACTCCCTTGTCAGTGCCAGTCTTGGCCACTGGCAGTCAAGAAAATACCAGGGGGTATTTTCTTCTTCTGGTGATTTTTCGTATCTCTAAATGCTATTCTTGTAACACTATTTCACACATACTCATATTCATTTCATTCATACAAAGACTTGATCTTGCCATTTCTTGGTATGGTAGGTGAGGATTTAACTCAACTTCAACCCTTATCTTTTTGATAGCTTTTTAGTTTTTCTTTTATAACAGTAAATAGCACCCTTCTGTTTCATGCCCATTAACTGTAAATGATATATTTTGATTCTCTAAGTGATACAATGAAGATTAGCAAGTACACCCTTACCCATCACCTCTTTTTACCTATCAAGTCCTATTCACAGCATTTCTTTATTGTCAGAGTTATCATTTACATCCTATACTGTAATTATAATTACATCTATGCTCTGTATTAGGTTAATTTAGAATGTTGAAAGGTATTAAGCAGCATTTATATTATTTCCACATAAATAGCGTTGACTGCGAAGTAGTAGGTGGTGATTTGTTTTTCCTACAGTGCCATTGTGTATGACTCCTATCCCTTTGCAAAGAAAATGTTCAAAATCAATTATATCATAAGGTAATCTCACATTCCTGCGTTTCCTACAAAATGTTTATTTCAGACTGGATTGTCTTGATACAAAATTCTAGTTGGAAAATAACATGCCCTCAAAACTGTGAAGGAACTGTTCTATTATCTACCAGTATCTAGTGTTGCTAATAATCAATCTAGTCCCGTTCTCACTGTTAGTCTTTGTTATGTATTTTTTTCTTTGAAGACTCTTAGGATCTTTTTATCTGTAATGTTCTGAAATATCACAATATATCTAGGTGTTTGTCTTTTCCTATTCCTTATATTCAGAACCTGGAAAGTAATTTTAATTTGAAGACTTAGTCTCCTTGAATTGTGTTGTCTCCAGAAATATTTCCTTCACTTTGTTTCTTTTCTCTCACTGGGTCTCCTTCTGTTTGAAAATTTCATTTATCGAATTAAATGTCTAGGTCCCTTTTTCTCCCTTGCCACCAATATAATCCTTCTATGTCATTTTTTGTTATGTGAATTTTATTGAACTCTATCTTCTGGTATTGATATAATTTGAACACTCACATTTAAAATTTATAAGTGCTCTCTTCTTTTCGCTTTGTTCCCTTTTGCGTGACAATGTTCTTTGTGTGTGTGTATGAATGCATTTGGGAGAAGCAGTGTGCCGTGAGCCCCGAGCATCCGTGCGCATCCTTGCTGGAACGCCAAGAATGAAGAGCGCTGTGTGTGCAGGGACCAGCCTTAGGGAGTGAGATCAGGTCTCCCACTGAACACAGCGCAGGTTTGTTATCATTTACTCTAAAAACAGTAAGTCCCTCAAACTTAGCATTCCTCTCTGGTAACACAGTCAGTTGTGTGTGCAGGCAGCCACAGAGGACCTTTTGTGTCACCCTGTGGGACTTCGGGGCACAGGGAGTTGATGCAAATGAACATGAAGTAATAATGTCCTTTATCTCTGACCCAGGAGTCTCTTGTCTTCCGCCAGCATGAAATGGTAACAGGCTCGCTTGTTCACAAGATGAAATCTCAGATCCAGCTTCTTCGTTGCTTCTGATCCAGTATTTGTCCTAGCTTTTTGTTGTGCACTGCAGTCTCCTTTGAGAGTGTAGCTTTCTCCACCAAAACTTTTACATTAACTTGTTTTCCAGATATTCTCGAAATCTCTTATCTGCTGGCTTTTACTTAAAATCCTTTTGTTTTTGTGGAAGTTCACTTTCTTATTTACTTCCATTTTTAGGAGAGGGATTCCCCAAAACTCCTGTGAGTAATCAGCTACTATGGCATGGGAGAACTCTGTCGTGTTATTAATGTTTTAGCAATCACTTACTGTTTTTCTCTTGCCGCTCTTGTGCTTACGTTCTTCCAAACACCATTTCACTGTTCCTGTTCCATCCCTACACCTAAATATAGAGCTTTATTATCTGGAAAGCCAGTAAAATATCCAACAGAAGTTAATTTAAAATAAAAGAAAATACTTCTCTTAGAGGAGGGCTTGTCTGTACCATTTGCTCCTTTCTGTCATTTTGGTTTAGGTTTGCATGTAAGTGTATTTTTAGATAAATGGACTATATGAAAGTGCAGTATGACTGTATTTACAGTTTTAAAATATGTTCTCATGATTATTGTTTCTGTGGTAAACTGAATTGCAGATATTCTTTAAAAAACTCGATGTCTCTTACTAAAAATTACCAGAGGGTTTTATCTACATGATGCTGCAAAATGATTTTATCCTCTAGAATAAGAACTGTTAAACTTTTTATTTAAAGTGTCATGGTGGGCTTTGGCCCATACCATTTCAGTTACAGCCATTCAGCTCTGCTTTTATATAGCAAAATAGCAGCCAGAAAAAAAGTGTAAGTGAATCACTGTAACTCTGTAGAAGTAAACCTTTATTTATGAACAATAAAATTGGAATTTTATAGTTTTCACATGTTATAGAATATTTCATTTTTTAATTTTCTACAACCATTTAAAATATTAAAAATTTTATTAGTTTGCTTTCCATTATAAAAACTGCCCAACTCCTTCCCTAGAATTAACATGTTTAACAGCTTTTTTAATGCTTGATACTGATATGTGTCTACTCTGCCCTGTTATTCCTATCAGACAAGCTAATGAAGAATATCAAATACTGGCTAATTCCTGGCGCTATTCATCTGCCTTTTGTAACAAACTCTTCTTCAGTATGGTGGACTATGATGAGGGGACAGATGTTTTTCAACAGGTAAAGGGAACATTTTATTTTTCTAATATATTTAAAAGAGTTGGTTATATTGATACCTTTTGGTTTGTCAGATAAAAATATTTACTGAATAAGTCAAATACAATAATAGGTTTAATAAACTATTTGATGTGATTAAAATACAGCTATTCTTATTTTTTAATTGAATAGTGCTTATTATTAGTGATTAGGGTAAACACAGTTTAACTTTTGCATGGCGAAGAAAGTGTTTTTTTTCAGCATTCAGGAGCAGTTTACTTGCCTTAACCTTACATGTATTTTGGTATTTGTATGTGGTTTAAGGTAGTATTGTGCAGAAATTTTATATAAAAGTCAATGTAAGGTTTTATTTAACCTTTACCTCTTCCCATATGGGAGATACAGATAATTTTACATATAAAATACCAAATATTTTTAAAAAGTGTTTGTTCTCTGTTGTGGAATGAATTGTGTCCCTCCAAAATTCATGTGTTGAGCCCTAACCTCAATGTGACTGGTTTTTTGTTGTTGTTTTTTTGAAATAGGGACCTTCAGGAGGTAATTATGGTTAGATGAGGTTGAAAGGATAGGACCCAAATCACTACCTTCAACTGGTGTCGAAGGAGGACGCCACTTCCTAGATGTGATGTCTGAGAAGAGACACGGGAAGTGTATGTGCACAGAGGACAGGGGGCCATGAGAGGGCCATGTGAGGGCATCTGGCAAGAAGGTGGCCATCTTCAAACCAGGAAGAGAGGTCTGAACTAGCAACAAACCCTCATGGAACTTGGTCTTAGACTCTCAGCCTCCCAAACAGTGAGGAAATAAGTTTCTATCATTTAAGCTACCCGTCTGTAGTATTCTGTTACAGCAACCTGAGCAGACTGATATGTTGTCATTTACAGTCATATGTTATCATGCATAATACATATCACTATTTGATCAGTGCCTTTCAAATGCAGAACTTACTGCAGTACCAGGCACAAGTGATTCGTTTGGGTATCTTGGTCTATTTTCTTTTTCTCACATATGACAGTCTTTGGCATAATGCTTTACTGGGTCATGGAAAAGCATTTAGTTCTGTGAAGAATCTAGCTCACAAACTGTAAATGGGTCATTAGTGAGTATTTTTGCTTATTTGCTTCCAGATTGACTTATTTGTTCATTTTTGCCACATTCTAGTTGAATAAGATAAATACTCTATTTTGCTTTCAGTACCCTTTATCCCTGGTCTTTCTTTTAGTGTTATTTCTTCCTCTAAAAATTTATTTTGCATTTTGAAGGTGTTCATTTTTGTTCATCTATTCAGCAAATATTATTGAGTACCTCCTCTTATAGGAGCAATGAATTGGCAAGAAAAGCATACACAATTCTTCCCCATAAGGATCGCTCAGACTAGGGTGCTCATAATGATAGCAGTAATAATACCATGAAAATAAAGAAAAACACATACACAAATATGTAGCTTCAAATAACTTCATAAAGGAAAATTACAGTACTATAAGAACCAAATATTCTTTCCTGTAATTTATAAATCGCTATAGAATCTCAGAATTGGACATAGAGATCACCAGATGCAAGTTCTATCCATTATATAAATATATAATGCATATATGTATGTATGTTTATGAATCCTCTCTGCCACATTAAGAAATAGTGACCCAGATCTAGAGCAGAAGCTTCAAGCCCAATGTCTGTCCTGACTTGTCCTGACCAGGTTGTAAACTAAATAAAGTAGTCTATGGCCATACCACCCTGAACACGCCCGATCTCGTCTGATCTCGGAAGCTAAGCAGGGTCGGGCCTTGTTAGTACTTGGATGGGAGAAAGTAGGTTGGATTAGTTTCATTCTGTTATGGTATTTTTATTATGTGCATGCTTAGTGTGCTAAACACATTTAGTTCTTCACTTGCACAAGTAAATAGTCTCTCATCTATATTTATTACAACAACATCTTTGTTGGTTTTTTAAGAAAATAAATCTTTAATGGAACCACTTATATTTCACTTTTCTTCTAACTACAAAATAAAATCAGTAAAACGCCATGCAACTGATACTCCGTCTCACTGTTGAGGACACACTATGGTGTGGGTGGCGAACTGCCGCAACCTGGAGTGACGAGCTTGACCTCCGTGAGGCACAGCTCTGCTCTAGACTGAGGAAATGCAAGCCACAGGTAGATAGATCTGTTTTTCAAGAAGAGATCCAAATAGGAGTTTCTACGTGAAATTCCCCCGTCTTTAAAATATCGGCAGTTAGTTCAGATTAAACAGAACAAAGCTGTGGGACCAAGGAGCCCTATCTGTGTGCTCATACTGACCGGGCTGCCAGGGTATGGCCATATAGCTGTATTGCTAGGTGTAACTGCTGAAATCTTTTCAGCGCTTTAAACACTTTCTGAAGTTTGGCATAGATGCGAGAGTTAAAGTCAAGTTTGTTTTTAATTGAAAAATTTCCTCAGGTTAATTTTGATTCAGCAGAATTATGGATATAGAACTGCTTTGTTTTTTCCAAAACCTAGCCTGCAGCTTAGCAATAAGAGTTTTCATTTTTAAATGCAGAAATGCATAAAAGCGATAGCAGTTAATGATTTTTATGGGGAATTAAAATCCACAAAAAATGGAGAAGTATATATATACTGTTTTACTTGAGACCCACCAGAAGATTTTTAATTCTTATGTTTTCTCTCTCATTAACTACCGAGTCACACTTTGTCCAAGTACTCCCTCTAAACTGATATTTTAAAGCATTGTCAGCAATACCGTGGAGTCAAAATACAATGTTAATAACAAGTGCAGAAATGCGGCGATTCCTGCCACACTGGGGACTCGTTGGGCAAGTAACTTCAATTATCTGTGACTCCCGTGTGATGGCTGAGGCTGAGTATCAGACACCAGGCTGGGGAGCTCGTGAACGTGGTGTGGGGCAAGGAGCTCTGGACTAGAAATAGGCCTGCGTTGCCCCCTGCTTTGTTGGACCCTTGGGAATGTGTACATTTTAATTAAGATGAAAGCTGAATTATATGATTTTTTTAACTCTAAAATTCTAGGATGTTAAACCTTGTATGGGTTTTCTGATTGTTCCACTGCAGGGACTTCTTCCCTTGAAATCTTATATTTACACGTTGGCTGTAGCTCTCTCTGGTGCATCTGTCTACCAAGGAATCACACATGAACAAAGTCAGGGGGGAAGGGAACACGGGGAGAAAGGGACTGGTGACTTTCGTTCACTTAACAGATGTTAAAATGTTCATAACATGCAGGCCCACTACGGGTACCGCTCTATCTGTATTTAATGTCAACTGTGGTCTAACACATGTTGATTTGATTTTGCTTTCTGTAGGAAATGCAATACTATATTTCAAGTCAGGGCCAAAAATGTTTTGGCTTTTAATTTCATAATTCCTGGGCAGCCAAGAAGTTTATTTTTGCAGTTTACTCCTCAATGCCAGTTAGTCTAATATTTGTTTTTAGATGTTACATCGTTAATAAGCACCATTTCTACTATGCTGGCATTCTATTCATACACCTTTCAAATAGAAATTACCTTTAGAAAATAAAAGTGAGAGATAACGATTTCAAGACAGTTTGATAGATAATTGAACAGAAGATTATCATTGTGAATTTCTGCAACAGATGGGCAAATTCAAGTTGTTTAGGGCAAAAATATTGCTATCTGTTATAGTCCATCATCATTTTTAAACAGTTTTTCCAGATTAACAGAGACGTCAATCTACTTACAATTTGTTTGAAATTAAGTCCATCATATATTTGTATTCATTAAATGCCAATACTTTTTCTTTAATAACTGCTCAAGAAGTGGAATAGTCCATGCACTGACAAATTACAATATTTCTATTTTGCACTTTAAATTACTTCATTCTTTACCCTAATTATAGACTTCAAGATAGAAAAAGAATGAAATGGCTGATAAAATACAGAGGATACAGCTGAGAAAATGAGTGATGTATGTCAAATGTGACGGGTCAGCAAACAGCCAAATTTATAAGTTCTTTTTTATTCAGTAGTGCAATAAGGTGAATAAAACAGTAACTAAGTCCTGGAAAGCCACTTGGGTTTTCATAATAAATGCTACCTTTCCAAAATTCATGCAGAAAAAAATGAAATGTTAGATTAGTGATATAAAAAGATTGCTGGGCTGGTGTTATACTTAGCATTTTTTTTTTTTTTTTTTTTTTTGCCTTGTGTTTTACAGCTCAACATGAACTCTGCTCCTACGTTCATGCATTTTCCTCCAAAAGGCAGACCTAAGAGAGCTGATACTTTTGACCTTCAAAGAATTGGATTTGCAGCTGAACAACTAGCGAAGTGGATTGCTGACAGAACGGATGTTCATGTATGTTTTTATTCCCCGCAGTTTTAATAATAGGCTAATTAGCTTGGTTTGTTAGAGCATTGCAATAAGGCCACGGGATTTTTAAAATTTCTCTATGCAGCATTTTTCCTTGCTTAGAGAAAACTGCCTGATAGCTATATGGTGTAAGCTAGACTGACTGAGTTAGGTGAATTTAAATGGTTTTTAGAACAATGATATTTTAAGAACCATTAAACAGTATGTGAGTTAGGCACAAAGTAATTTCAGAGGCTAAAAAATATACTGACTATTTCTCAGTGGTATTAACAATCAAAGAATTACAATTAAAAAGCAAGATGTATAAGTTTTATCTGTCTTTGGGCAAGTAAAAAATGAGATAACACCTTCTTTTCATGAGCTATCTGGGAAAATGCCGCATATACTGTTCTTGGCATGATAAAACAGTGTAACTATTCATCATGTCTTTGTGGAATTTATCTTAAGAATATAATTGAAGATGATTGAAATTACTTAGCCATAGACTTTTTTTAAGGAGGAAATCACTTTATTCTTTTTTAAAATTAGATTTTCTGGAGTAACATTGGTTAATAAACTTATATAAGTTTTAGGTGTACAATTTTATAACATCAATTGTATATTGCATTTTGTGCTCACCATCCACAGTCTGGTCCCCTTCTGTCACCTTATAAATGACCCTCTTGACCCCCTTCATCCTACCCCTACAGCCCTTCTGGTAACAACCGTACTGTTGTGTGTGTCTATGAGTTTATTTGTTTGTTCCTTTCTGTTTTATATTCCACATATGAGTTAAATTATATGGCTCTGTCCTTTTCCGTTGACTTATTTTACTTACCATCATACTCTTAAGATCCATCCATTTGTTGCAAATGGCAATATTTAATCCTTTTTTATGACTAAGTAGTATTCCATTGTATATATGTACCATGTTCAGTTTATCCTATCATCAGCTGAAGGACACTTAGGTTGTTTCCATGGCTTTGCTATTGTGAATTATGCCAGTCAACATAGGGGTGCATATATCTTTATGAATAAGTGCTTTCAAATTTTTTTCAGGTAGATACCCAGAAGAGGGATTGCTATGTCACATGGTAACTCTATTCTTAATGTTTTAAGAACCTCTGGACTGCTTTCCACGGAGGTTGCATCAGTTTACATTCTCACCAGCAATGAACAAGGGTCTCATTTTCTTGACATCCTTTCCAACACTTGTTATTTCTTGTCTTGATAACAGCCATTCTAACGGGTGAAGTGGTATCTCAGTGAGGTTTTGATTTTCATTTCCCTTATAGCTGGTGAAGTTGAGCATCTTTTCATCGGGAGTGTTGAGCATCTGCCGGCCATCTCTATGTCTTCTGAGGAAAAGTGTCTGTTTAGGTCCCCTTCGCATTTTTAATTGGAATGGTTTTTGTTGTCGTCATTGTCATTCATTACTTTTTGCCTTTACTTCCCTTGCATTTGGGGTCAAGTTCACAAAAACACCTCTGTGACCAAGGTCCATAAGTTTAGTACCTATGTTTTCTCCTATGCATTTTATTGTTTCCGGGCTTATATTTGAGTTAATTTCCATGTATGGTGTCAGCAGTCTAGTTTCATTCTTTTGCATGTGGCTTTCAAATTCCGCCAGCACCACTTATTGAAGAGGCTTTCCTTTTTCCATTGTAGGTTTGTGCCTCCTTTATCAAAGTATTTTATATATATATTTATATTTTATATAAAACTCAGTAATATAAAGATCACTTAATTGAAAATGGGTAAAGGATCTGAGTAAACATTTCTACAAGGAAAGTGTACAAATGTCCAATGAGTGCATGAAAAGATGCTCGACATCATTAGTCATCGGGGCAGTGCAATTCAAACCAGAATGAGATAGCACTTCACACACAAGGGTGGCTAAAACCAGTGAGATAATATATGCTGGCAAGGAAGTGGGGAAACTGGAACCCTCACACGCTACTGGTGGCAATGCAAAACAGTGCTGCCACTTTGCAGGACAGCTTGGCTGTTCGGCAAACGACTCAACATAGAGTTACCGTGTGACCCGGAAATTCTGCTCCTACACACATACCCAAGAGAAAGGGAAACATATGCCCACACAAAAATCTATAAGAACATTAATGGCGGCATCATTCAAAAGAGCCATAAAGTAGAAAAGACCCAATGACCATCAGCTGATTAATGGGTAAATAAAATGTGGTGTATGCATACAGTGCAGTATTCACTCATGAAAAGAAGCAAAGTATTGACACATGCAACAATAAGGATGAACCTTGAAAACATTGTGCTAAGGGAAAGAAGCCAGTTACAAAAGGCCACATACTATATGAAAGTCGAGAATCGGTAAATCTATAGAGACAGAAAGGACATTAGTGGTTGCTTAGGGCAAGATGGTAAAAGGAATAAGGGAGTGAATGCTAAAGGGTATGGGCCTTCCTTTTGAAGCAATTCACATTTTTTGATACTGACTGCGGTGATTGTTGCAATGTCCGTGAATGTGCTAAAACCACTGAATTATACAGTTGGAACAGTGAACTGTGTGGTATGTGGATTATATCTCAATAAAGCTGTTTGTAAGAAGCCTTTTACAGAAAACCCCGATTTGAAATAATACAAATACTATACCCTATCTCACCTTTCCCCTTTACTAGATGATCCTATGTTCCATGGATTAATCAGAACAGCTCTGGGTGGCATACAGGGTGGTTTTGCGTATATTTATCTGTATTCACCTAAAATGAAGAACAGGCTTTTACATAGCCATGATGTTTTAAGGTATATATTTTTGACTTATAAAGATTAAAAGGTATGTTAATACCAGGTATGAACAGGTATCCTCTTCCTAAATATTTGCATTGAAGTTTGGAAGGACTTAGAATATGGTCAAGAGAAAAAAATTAATATTTTTCTTTCACTTAAAGTTTTCACTGCATTTTTGCAGATTCGCGTCTTCAGACCACCTAATTACTCTGGCACCATTGCTTTGGCCCTCTTAGTGTCACTTGTCGGTGGTTTGCTCTATTTAAGGAGGAACAACCTGGAGTTCATCTATAACAAGACTGGTTGGGCCATGGTGTCACTGGTATGTTATCACATTGTATCACTTGTTTTTCCTTTTTTTTTTTTTTTTGTAAAATAGCATTGTATAAATTAACAAAATGCACCAGATTATTACTACAATGGAAACGTGTTGCACCCTGTCTTTCAGTGTATAGTCTTTGCTATGACTTCTGGTCAGATGTGGAATCATATCCGTGGACCTCCATATGCTCATAAGAACCCACACAATGGACAAGTGGTAGGTGCATGTCCTAAGCATCACTATTCTGAACTTCAGCTCTGCTTTATGTAGGAACCAGATAGTATGCTTATTTAGTAAGAAAGGATTGTGTATGTAAATCTGTGTTCTTTCTCTTCTCATTTACTACCTCTGCTATATAATCCATACGTGTGTGTGTGTGTGTGTGTGTGTGTGTGTATTACTGTGAGTACTGCTTTAGTTTTGATTAAAAAATTCAGTGTACCTACAACATCAAATTTATATGCATAAACTTTTTTCAATTTTGAATAGACTGCTATGGTAATAATATATGTCGCAAGAGAAAATAGAAATAGTTTGTAGCCAGTGTCCCATCAATGGTAGATTAAATTTACTTCAGAAGAGGTGAATTAAAACATTATTAAGAACTCTAGCAGTCATTGTTTTAGAATTCTAGGAACTGTTTGCCACAAAATTAAAAGGGAAATTGATGTGTAGTTAAATCACTATCAGAGTTCACATTTGTAACTGCTACTGACTTCACATAACTTAGTTTGTTGTCTTCCCTTTTTTGGTCCGCGGGAAATATTGTAATAGATCAATTTTCAAAATACTGTCATTGAAGCTTGAGTCTTAGGTTGGTGAAGATTAATAACCATTTGAAACTGTGCCTTTTTTCTTTTGGAAAATAGACAGATTTTGAGAGAATAGTGTAATGATGTCCATTGTGTACCCATCACCAAACTTAATCGATTACCAGCTCATGACTGATAGAATTTCATCTGTTCTCCCACCCAAGGCTCTTTACCTACTGGTGGATTCTTTTGAAATGTCATTTCATTTCACACATAAATATTTCACTAGATGTTTCTAAAGATATAAGGTCTTTTTTAAAAGTCATACCCACGATACCACTATCACACCTACAATAATAATTGCTAATTTCTAAAACTACAGTTCTGAGAAGAGTAAAATAATGTTACAAATTTTCTACAAATATAAATGTATATAATGTAAGCTTACAAGTTTTTTTAAAAAATCTTCATTGCTTGTAGTACTTTAAATATTTCTAATGTTAAAGCTAACAAATTATGAGTATTTCATTTTCCTACATTGTGACTTTCTCTAAACTTCTTTTCAGAACTATAATATAGGGGTATAATTCAAGTTATTCTTTGTATGTTCCCCAAAATACCCAAACAGGCTTTAGGGACTTGTTGCAAATCATCAGAGTTATAGTCATCGATACTACATAATAATTTAGTCTCATGTCGTTGTGACCATTTTCAGATTTCTCTGTAGGTGACAGAGGTATGGAGACAACATGGGACTGTTTGGGTAATTAACTGCCATAGTAATTCCAACATGATTTTTGCTATTTGTGTATATTTTTGAAATCTGTCATTAGAGAGAGGAGTAACTTGAGTGACTTTAATATTTGGAATTAAATTATAAAATATTAGAAGCCATTACTGAGCAATAAATTATTACCTTACCTTCAAGGCATCCCACAAATACATTCTCATTTTGCTTGTAGAGACTGGCATGGCCTTTAGGAAAAGCTACTGTGATGCCCAGACAACACACATGTAAAACATATTTTTCTGTACTTTCAAAAGGGGAAAACTTTTAGCTTTTCAATATCTTAATCAAAAGTAATAGAAATGATGACATTTACATCTATAACAAAAGTATTTAAAAGATAAATTTTGTCCTAAACTCTTCACCTCCATATATTTGAATAGAGTATTAGGAATTGAAGGAAAAAAATCATAAAGGTCTTGGAAATACAGGAACTTCTTGCTACAAGGACAACATGAGTATACTTTTGGCCAAAGAGATGTGGATACAACTTTAGGTTTATGTGAGACATTAATTACTGAGCAGGATAGACAGGGCCTTAAAGCTGCCTATATAGCACCTTGGAAATGAAGAACTTTGCCCATTAGTATAGAACTCTTTCCTTGTTTTGCCTTTTAACATATTTTAGCAAAACTTCTTCCTTTTTTATATGCATAATGTCAGTATACATTGAAATAGGAAATTGTGGTATAAGTTTTGTTTTAATGAGTTGATTTGCATAATTTTTTATATTACTGGAACAAAATAGAAGATGAACTTTGCTTTGTCAAATGAAATGGTTACTAGTTTGGGATTTTTACTTTGAAGAATGATTGTCCAATAGAATGATAATAGTGAATGTTTTCTAACATTTGTAATATATGTGTTTAAATTTCAAGCTATAACTTGAAAAGTAACACTATCCTTCTTTGGTAACTTTTTTTATATTTTAAACTGTATATAACATACAACATTTGTAATACATGTGTTTAAATTTCAAGCTATAACTTGAAAAGTAACACTATCCTTCTTTGGTAACTTTTTTTATATTTTAAACTGTATATATTTCTCAAGAAATTCTCATGTAGGATTTATGTTTCAGAAAATAACTCTAATGAGTTTATTTATATAACTCTTTCAGTGGTATAGAATAAAATTTTACAGATGAGGAAAAGTAATAATCCAAGAGAAAGTAGTAAAGGTGAGATTAGAATGTTGTATAAGGTAGCACGATTAAGAGTCATTTGAGGACTAAGTTGATGATAATTAGACTAAATTATTGTGAAATACAAAGTTTAGACATAGATGTTGTTAGTAACAGTGGTTAATGTTTAAATCTTGATGTTAAAATCCATTTTAAAATTTTGATAGACATTCTAAGAAATCTAAGAGTCTTAAATATATAAATCATAAGTGAAACCTACTATTATCTGTATAGAGATTGACTAATTAAGTTGGGGTGAAAGACCATGAAATCTCTGTAATCTTGACAAAAAATTCTTTTTAATTAATATGGGTAAGGCTTAGTAAGGCCCTAAAGATAGGTCTGGCTAGGTGTAGTCCTGGGATGTATTTTTCTATTATCTGTTTTTCTCCAGTACTTGATTCTTCCAAATATTCTTTGAAATATGACACTTTGACTTTTTCAACTTCTGCTTTTACAATTTACTTTCTGATTATAAAATTAATAAGTACTCATTATGGAAATTTAGAAAATTATAAAAAATTAGGTACCGATGAAAGCCACCACATCATCAAGGGGAGAGAGCTTATTATATAGTTAAGCAAACTGCCTGTTTATAGCTAATTGGTGAGAGAATGCTGTTGCATTAAGCTGTACATATATAAACAAGTATGAAATGCAGAACATTAAAAAACCAGGCTAGACATCCAAAATATAAACAGAAAGCTTAAATGGTCACTGAAAATTGAGAGGTCTTTTCTTACATTAAGCAAATATTATATATGTAAACACAGTTTAACAAAGAGAATGCTTCTAACATAAACATTCCCAAGATATATAAAAAACGGCAGCCAAACAGAAGTGAAGAGAGATTTTTAAGGGTTGAGGTGGTGGCAGACCACAGATGCCTGATACACCTCTGCCTTCCTTCTTGTTAGAACACTCATAGAGAGTCATCAAAATGCAAAACAGGCAACGCAATTACAAAGTAAAGCTATTAAGCCCAAGTGCCAAAGTACAGAACTTCCATTAACATCAGATCAATTGACTAGGACATTGGTGCACAGTTTTTGTGCTTGTGAACATCAAAGTTGATTTTAAGTTTTCACTAGTATGCTTACATCTATTTTACTCCCCAGAAATACCATTTTACTTCATACAGCATCTCGCTTTTCCCATCACTGGAGTCTGTATGTTCTGCCTCATGCCATTGTGGCTCTATCAGGCCACTGCTGTTGGGGAATACAAGCTGGTCATAGATCCCACCGTTGGGCTAAAACATGAAAAGCCTGAGTTCTTTCCACGTAACAACATTAAGTGATGTTTCAGAAGCATAAAATTCACAGCCACTGTTATTCTCCCACACTAGTAACTTTGGACCCAGTAACACTAAGGTACATCTTTTCTGCATTTGTGAAATATCAAGGTAGATATAACTGGTTTCTGTTCCCATGCACATTCAACTTTAGTGCCCTTACAGGTTAGCTGTCTTTCATGAAGACATGAAGGGATGTTTTGGCTCTAAAACTCATGTCATACAACCAAGCATGAATTCTACCCCACTTCCCTGGCACAGTTTGTAGTTTCTGGATTCATTTCTGGCTGTCACAACGGTGGGGCATATACCCACTACTGACAGCTGGTGGCAGAGGCCAGGGATGCTGCTAAACATCCTGCAGTGCAAAGGACAGCCACCCGACAAAGAGCCATCAGGCACAAAATGCTAGTGTTAAAAATGAGAAGCCTTGGTATTGAGCTGTGGAGAACCTCAGGTATAATTTTGTCATAGGTATTTTGCAGCCAAGGAAACCATCCCATCTAGCATATATACTCAAAGGCTCACAGTGACCTGTTGTTTAATGTTTAGAATGGTTGTATATATTGAATGCCATAAGTAAATATGATTGGTGTGTAAATGGTTTGGATATAATTGCTTTAATATACCTTAGTAAACATGATTTAATCTGCGACATTTTATATGTTTTAAAAGAGGTTTACATAAGAGCAAGTGAAAAAGAGCCTTTTTCCTGAAGTGTTCAGGCAAAGAGAAACAGAGAAAGCAGACAGGGTTGAGTTCTTTCTAAGTTCTGCCTCTTACCAGTTATGTGATGTCAGGGAAGTTAGTCTCTCTGTTACTCTATAAAATGAGTCTAATACTGCTTTTCTTCGCCTGCAGTTGTTTATGAGATAAAATATGATAATGTATGTTTAAGCACTTTTGAAAGTCTTAGTTTAGGTCCTATTTTTTTTTTTTTTTTTTACTGTTGTTCAAGTACAGTTGTCTCCCTTTTCCCGCCACCACTTTCCCCTGCCCCACCCACCCTCATTTCCCACCCTCAGTCCTTCCCCGCTTTTGCTTTGGCCATGGGTCCTTTATACATGTTCCTTGATGACCCTTCATTTAGGTTCTTTTCCAAACCACAAACAAGGATTTACAGGAAAGGAGTTTATGTCAAAGGAGAAGGAAATGTGAAATGTACATGGGAAACAGTCCAGAAAGGGAAGGCAGTCGTAA